TTTAGAGGTGAGCAGAATACACGCTAAAAAAAGTACTTTAAGGTTATCAGTACCTTTCAAGTTAAAGATGGAACAGGGAGAAGGTAAGTGAAAGAAGGTGATGAACTGTGCATAGTGGGATTAACTTGTGTATGTTTAGGCCAAGGCCTCCTGTGAGACTGGAATTTAGTCATCTGGGGTTGGGATAAAGGTTGTCATGGAGCAGTGAAGAGTAAGCGCTGGATGTGGAGCCAGGGTAGTGGTGTTCAGGAGTGTGTGTTGGCGTTCTGAGTTGTATTTTGTTTTGGGAGGGGGTTTACCTTGTTCAGGTTTCTGTGCAAACCTGTATTGCCCTCAAGCTGCCGAGTGTTGGTAGCTGCAACCATGACCACTATCTTATGTAGTGCACTTGGAGACGACAAACTAGTGACTTTCCCAGCTTGGATGAGTAGACATAAAGAGGAGTGACTTTAATTATAATTATGGGCCACTCAGTCCATAATTCCATGCAGTGAGATGAATTACATTTTCAGTATTGGATAATATTTCTTTGAAAATCAAGGGGCTGGGAATTGTGTATCACCATAGAGCAACTTGAGTGGACATGGTACCGTATCATTCAACTAATGGTCATTCAACTAATGACATGTTTAAATTAGGAAACTTCTAGTCGGTTTGAGGTTTGTTCTTTTTTTTGGTTGGCCTTTTTGACTGGAAAGGATTGAACCTTAAGGTTAGTAGAAATGAATATTAATATTGCAGGAGCAAATAGATGTTGGAAACGTAACTGTACTCTGAGTTCCTTTCTAGTCTAATAGATGTTGAAATAACTGACCAGAATTTCTTTCATGTGTCTGAAGGGAGAGTGCATGTGGGTTCACTGTATTTTGGGCGGACAAAGAGCCTCAGGCTTCAGACTTAGATTTAGTGTGAAGAGACCACATGTCACTGAATTTATATATACACGTCACTGAATCTATATAAACCTGCTGATCAGTAAAAGAATCCAGAAATAAGTGAACTTGTCTGTATAAGGAGCATCTTTATTTTGTGATTCGAAGTATTTTAGCAGTTTCTTCATGACATCTTTGTAGCTGTCACAAAGTGGCAATAGATGCTTGGACACCAAGCAGCTTGAGCGATAGTGGTGAGAATTAACTGAAGTTGTCAAGCCTGTGCAGAAGTTCTATGCAGTCTCATAGAACTGAAAATGTTTCTCAAGTATGTGAGCAGTGGGGAAAAAAAAAAGGATGCAATAGCACATTGCAGTGTGCTGTGGATGAAGAGGGTCTATTGTGTATTTTTCATGGACATAATAAGTTGTTATGCAGATTTGTTGCGTTAGAAAAATGATACATGGTTTCTCTTTGGGTCCACAATTGAAGCTATTCTTCAAAATAATGTATTTGTATTTTGGATTTCTGGTAAATGAAAGTAATTGCTCTTTATGGTGAGTTTTGAGTGGCTAATGTGAATGCATTCATAAATGTTCTCCTTTTTGGCGTTTTTCCAGTTTGTAGTGTTCGTGATGTTGCTTTGCACCTGGATTAACTTGTTTTCTTATCTGTATGGCCTCTATTGCTTTGGAGACATTTTAACTGGATGTCATCTTTGTTTTAAATCTTGGCTGGCAGCCAGTGGTGCCTTCCTTAAATGCAGTGTACTAGTGAGTCAACATGTTTGCTTTATCCATAGGAGATGCCAGATTCTCTTACTTTTGCGTCGGCCATTTCAGAGGGATGCTTAGCTGTTTATTTTATGCGCTGTTTGATAACACTCTGAAAATGAGCTTTGCAAAACTGAGGTGTTAAGGGGGGAAAAAAAAAAATTGTAGAAGTTGTGGTGTTTTCTGTATTGGAAATCTTTTTATACTCGTTCCCCAGTGAATCCTGACAAATTTCCTGCAAATGCGTGGTGGAACATCATGTAAATGGCTGATTCACCTGGGATACTGAGCAGTTGGGTTTGAGTGCGTAGAGAACTGTCTAAATGGAATGATTAGTCAAGGAAGTCTGGGATAACAGAACAGCGCAGGAATACTTTGATACAGTTAAATTGCTACAGCTACTGAGTAAACTGGATTGAATGGTGCTGTGTCACTGCAAAGAGGCCAGGAGGATGCGTTTGGTGCAAGGTAGTTCAGACGCTTACCTCCCAGGAGAGACTGATTTAACGGCTCCGGGGGGGGTGTTTCAGGATTCTGGATAAAAAGTGGTATGTAAGTGTGAGTTATAAGTAAAACAGGTTACTGTTGTTATGGTGTTGGTAGTTGATTGCATATCTAGTACTTGAAGCTTTTAAAATGTACACATGTGTGCTGTTGCAACAGCTGCTACTACCTGGCTAGGAAATAAACCCTTTGAAAATAGTTGTTTGGGAAAGGCAAGTTGTGCTTGAAATAACTGGGCATAATCCTTTGTGATTCTACAGAGATACTGGAGTTGTCGTACAAAACTGTTTATTGTTATTTTCTTATTAAAAAAAGGAAAAAAATCCCCAAGATTTCAGTGCATTTTACATCCATGAAACTTCTGTTTCTCTTGAGACTCCTGGTGCAAGACATTAAATTTGTCACGTTATAGACAGTGAAAATATGCATCAGGAAACTTCAAAGCGATACTACTTAGTAAGGCTACATAGTTATCTATATCTTTAGCAAGGTTTTTTGTGATGCCATCATCACTAAGGCAAATGACTATATTTAGTAAATGCTTGGTTAGCACAAGCATTTTTGAGAGATTGTACTCCTGACCGTGTCTCCTCCTCTGCTCTAATGCTCAAGTGGTATTAAGAGTTCAACATAAATCCAATATATGAGTTAACTCTTTCTCACTGTTACCTTTTGCCTTGCTTTAAAATTTAGAGTTCTTTGCTCTAAAACTTTATTTATGCATTAATAGCACGAAAACATCTCTTAAACACCTGCCTTCCCACTGCTGATTGTTTCACTCTTTAGTTGATTCCATTATCCTTATTCTCTTTGTTATTATTTCTCAATTTAGTTGGGGTTTACATCAGGTGGACACCTGGTAAAGAGTTGCCAGCTGTACTTGAAGTGGAATTCCTACTTTTGTGGGCCTTTTTATGCTGAAAAGAGCTGTGCAGAAGTTCTCAAAAGAGGCCAGTACTCTCATGGGGCTATAACTGACAGCAAGTGTAGGGAAGGTGCTTCTCATGAAAAAAAGGATTTTTGGAACTTGTGGCCTGAGAAATTGTGAATTAATTTCAGTGCTGTTTTTGTGGATGCTTTTGTAAAGAATGATCAAAAGTTACTACAGCAACAGAAATTCTCGAAGATTTCAGTTAATTTGTGTAAGTTAAACAACATCTAGTTAATACAGAAACTATCAGGAGAACTGCTTGGTTTGGAATTTACGTGCCAAATTCTGGTTCAGAACACTCAGGCTTTGCGTTGTTACAACTTGAGTCTCTTCTAGGGGGAATGTGGACACAACTCTGCTATAATTACATTTCTTCTGTACCCTTGGAGAGCAGCTTCACAGGTGCTGATAAAATTATGATTTCAGCTTATTCCAGATTCTTATCCTGTGTCTTTGACTCTTACTACAAAATAAGCAATAGATTTTTCAGTTTAAAAAAAGAAATCTCTTTTGTCAAGCTCATTTGACTTTATCAAATGCTGTTGCGAAGCGATTAACGACGCAGTTTGAGATGGATGGATGGAGAATGGTGTGGTAAAGAAGCCTGGTTTATAAACAGGTGCACAACTGTAATTCTGGCATATATCACTGAGGTGTCATAGATTTGAAATGCCTGGCCTTTTTCCAGCTTGGTTGATGCATCTACGAAGACTTTCTGCACTTCTGATGGTCCTGAGGTAGTCCTGCTGAACAGCTGCTAAGTTTCTTTTAAATTCATCTTTGGGCTAACTCTCAGGAGTGGGAGAATTCCTGAGTACAGGTTGGGTTTCAAGTTATTAATGAAAGGTTTCTTTTTTCTTTCACGAGGAAGAGGCTATAAACATGTAGTGTTTATTGCTAGAAATAGTGACAGTGCCTCCTTCAGAATGCTATTTGTGGAGTGTAAGAACTAGAAAATGTCCAATAAATTTTAGATTTTACAAGAGGTGAAGCAGGCCATTAGTTGTGTTTTGAAATGGCTTAAAACTCTCTAAGACATCCGAATTTTTTTGTGGAAATATAAAAAGGTTCATGGCGATTCATTCGTAGAATAGCTGGTGTTCTTTGTGTCTTCTGTCTTTTGAATAGCGGTTACTTGTCTGAATCTAAAAGGAGAACACAGTGACTGTCCTTTAAATATTTGTTTGGCTTTGGGAGTAGCATGTTTGCTTTCTAGCAAGCTGTGGGTGAGTTTTCGGATTTCTAAGGTCATTATCATTAATCAGGCACTACTTTCCCATCCTTGCTGTAATTTTATTCTGAGGCACTACTCTTGTGGTTATTGCCAAGACTGTTTTTAATACAACAGACCTTATTTTACAGCAACCTTGTACAGTCCAGCTGTCAAAAGCAAACAAAAATAATTACTCAGTTTCTGTCATGTCAAATGTAATTTGAGAAAGCCCAGTCCTTCCCCCAGGTAAATCTAATTTAGTCTGCTGAATTTCATCTATGATTGGTTGCCCTGGTTTTCTTCACAATTAGATGAGAAAATATGTTAGTGCTAGGTTCTTAATAGCAAGCTAACCACACCAGATCTGATTAGTTTCCTGTCTTATTTCGATCTGGTTCATAGGTTGTGACCTGATCATTTTTATTAACTAAATTCAGAATATGGTCTTCTACCACTTCCTTTTGTTTTCCTAGCAAAATGTCTATTCAAACCAAAGTTAATTTTTATGCAGTTAATTCCCTTATTTATCATCATAAAGCATCTAGTTTCTATTTTTAGATCACACTTGGAATAAATTACATGTTATGCAAATGAAATGGTGGCTCTTCCTAAGCTTAAGCTGTTTTTTAAATTATCCTGTTTTTATGTTCTTTCTTGGAGGTACAGAAGTTAATTTCCATTATTTTAAAATCTTGTTTTTCTTAAAGATTGCGTATATATTGAAAGTCGCCGGCCGAATACCCCGTATTTCATCTGCAGCATTCAAGACTTCAAACTGGTAAGGAAAATTTTCACATCTCCTCCTTTTCCCTGTCCCATTCTCCAGTGAGATGGCAATAGTTCTTAGTCTATCTCTTCCTGTAGTTCCTTGCTCCGAGTAGATCTTTAGCTTCTGAAATAGTGGCTGTTTTGTTACTAGGACAGTGATCTATCCTTGATACAGACTTAGTGAACAGGGCTATAGAGTTCAAATTGTGATCTACATCATTTTAAGGTTTTGTAATCCACAAAAATATGAACTTTGAGTTGAGTGGGTTAGGGAAATTGTGGCTCAGTAAGTTCAGTTTTTTCCTGGGAAGTTATATTTGGCTGTGCCTTTAGCTTTATACAGCACAGCTGTGTAAATGGCAGCACGTGGGCTGAGTCGTGGTAGCCTGTGTATCTTGGCTGAGCGGGGGACTCATGGTTGAGGATGCAAAAAGGGACTAGTCCAATGTAGGGAGTTGGATTTGGAAAAATACAAAATAACGTTTAAGAATCCTTTAGCACTTAATTCTTTAAAAGTGAAAAGCGGGGGACTTGTGCAAGAACAAATTAGTTGGAGGTGTGATTTACCTCTTTTTTTTTTTTTTTTTATCTGATTTTGTACACTTAACAGGTAAACACGTTCCTTCCCAGTGTGTTGTAGCTGTGCAGAAAACCACTTGCTGCTTACGCAGTGCAGAGCTGGAGGCTGCTGCCCGTTCAACACAAAGGGCACCTGTTCCGGTTTTGCACTTTGTAGTGCTTTGAGTAGTGTCAGCAGGATGTTTGGAAAAGGTACCTGTTGCTGTGGATCATCTTGCTGTTGGTGGTTTACAGAAGTTCTGAGGGTGTAATACACTGTCCTTATCAGTGCAGATGTAGATCACCCACTGCTTGTTGCTATCAAAATATATTTTCCTTTTCCAAACTTTCTTACTCGATTCTTCCATTTCACTCATTTCAAGTTTCTTTTGTGAGACCACAGTGAAGGAGAATGTGTAGGCTTTCTTTAATATTGATGTCCATAGTAGTGCTTGGCACCCCCCCTTTTTTTTTTTTTTTTTTTTTTTTTTTCTTTATTTTAAAGGAGTCGTTGGATTTGTACTTAACAGGTTCTAGCAATGGGTTAAGCCACAGTTGTACTACTCTTGCACATAGCAGGTGCTTTTGTGTCTGACCAGAATTACAATGTGATAGTTGCCATTCTGGGGAATAAGTTCCTGCTGAGTTGCATTAATTGCTCAGGATATTGACAACAAAAGCTGAAGCTTCTGTTGTCAGCATTGGTCTTGTACAACACATTAAAGCTGCTTGCAAAGCTACGTGGCAAGTGTATTGCAGTATGTTTTAGTACCTCTAAATTTTTTTTGGAGTAGTTTCTCTTTTCTTGTGTTTTCAACGTGCAAAGGATATGACATCAGGGTTGCTGGTAGTTTTGCATGTTTTTTCACATGGAAATGGTATCATTGGGTTATGTTTACTTTTGCCTACTCTGAGTTCTTTAATTTCTGTTAGACTTTTTTTTTTTTCTTACTGACATCATGCAGAAAAGCAACTTGTAAAAATGACAAAACCCCCACCCCCTTGATGCTGATTATACTAGCAAAAATGAATCTTCAGTGTGTCACTGTTGATTTTACTGTTGAGGGAAAGGCAAGATGTATAGTGGAAAGGACACTTGATTTATCTTCTAGTGTGAGATACCAACAGGAAAGCAGTCTTGTTTTGCCTTCAGCTAAATATGTCAAGTGAAGCAAGGAAGTTAAAGTCAACAGCTTTGAAATGTTGCCTACTAATTAAGTACATTATCATGTTGGTTGTCACAAACTAAAAGTTTTTGGCTGAGTGTACGAGTCTTATTCCATACTTCCTGTTGTTCTATGTGCAGCTCAGGCTTAGGAGTTGATGGTGGTGTTTTACTGAGTAAAACAAAGAATGTAAGCTTGCATTTTTTACAAAGAGGGAGCTAAAAATGTGTGTCAGGAAGCATTTACTGTCTCATGTACCCTGTCCTGCAGAGTAGGAGGTACTGAGGGTCATTCTGGGGCTGAGGCTAGAGTACCTTCAGTGTCATTCTTGAAGTAAACTGAGGTTCAACTTGCTTTTTCCAGTAAGATCTTAAATCATAATTAGAAATGATTTTGTGTTTACTGCAGAACTAGAAACTGTTTCTATAAGGTCTGGCAGTTTCTCCTAGTAAAATGTTCAAGCTTCCTTCACTTGACAGACAGATGGCAGGAGGCAAAGAAAGTAGAAGCCAATACTGAAGTAGTGGTGTGTTCAGTAAAAAATGGGCTTTACTCCCTTTCATGTTACTCAAGCTGTGTTACAAACAACGCTCTTGCCTGCTTCACTTTAATAAATACCAGCGTGGAAAATGGGCTGAGATTACTTATAACTTGATGAAGTCATACTACTCTAGAAGCAGATGTTTCAAATGATTTCAGAGCAGCTTTGTATTCTGGTGCCTAGATCTTGTGACTGGAGAAACCAGTAAATGTTTTCCTGTGCCTGCTCTTCACAGTTCAGCAATTGTGGCAGGTAAAAGAGTGTACTTTGTTGCGTTAGCTTATACTTCCAGGTTTCCCTTGACATTAAGATGAATCAGTTCTACTAAAAATTACACAAGAGGAACAGCTCTTTTGCTTTCCTGAAGAACAACTGTGCTTCACCAATGCCCATAAAGTCCTAGTGATGAAGTTTTACCTACTGCTCATTTCTTTGTAATCTGTTGCCACCCTGTGTTTTGTTGCTCTATGTTGCTTCACGTGAAGCAGAGCTGTGATGCTGCAGAGCTTGGTCATTCCCTTTGTGACTTGGGTTAGTTCTTGTATGAAGATAAGTTGAGGTTGGGAGGAAGAGCAGAAGATTTGGTTCCCAAGCTTTGGGGGCAATGGGAGGAGCACAGTTAGCTTTCTAGGTCTTTCTCTCTCCTGAATCAAAAAATGTAATGCTGCATCAGGGCTGGCATTGTGGGAATAAGTTAAGTGATTTGATCAATGCAGCTTAAGTACGTTAGAAACTGTCATGGGTAACACACATCCTCTTTTGTCTTTACTGTTTCTGTGGTACTGGATTCCTTCAGGCTTTCTGGGATTCGTGTAAATAACTTTGTGGAATTGAGAAGTAAAATACGATCAAGTGTGATGTGTTGTGTCTTAGGAAAACTAGCAACAAGAAGTGGCACTTTAATCGTCACGTCCTTTTGGGTCTGGCATTGCTTCACTACTTCCATAACATGGGTTTCACAAAGATTAATATCGTCCTTCAAAATCACTTCCAATAATCTGCTGATAGTCTCATACGTTCTTGGGGAGAGGGTTAAATAATACCAGCACCAGAGGAGTGGAGTACTGCTCTGCTGTGTGAACTTGGCATGCTTTTAAGAAATGCACTGACTGTTCCTGCAGCTGGGAAACAGCTTTGAAAAAGTGTTGATTTGAAACCTGTGGGAGCCTCACAGAACACTGCTAGGGAATAAGGATGATGACAGAAGGGACTTCACCTGCTCCTTTATTGCTTGTCCTTTTCTACTCTCTAGTGCTAGTCAGGACTTTGGAAAACCATCTGTAGTTCAAACCTGCTATTTAGCATCTACTTGGTGTAACGCACTTGGTGTTGAGAAGGAAAATGCACACGCAGTTCTTGGTCAAATGTCATAGTTTTTGTTGTGCCTCATTCTCTATGATACTTAGGAACTGTGTTAATCTAATGATATTCCCCCTGTCCTGACCCCTGTGTCTGATGTCCACAGTTCTGGTAGGTTTTTTGGTTTTATTTTTATTTTTATTTTTATTTTTTTTAAATGTGTTCTGGTACGCAAAGATGTTCAGTAAGGTTTGGAGATGAAACCAGTTATTTGTTAGTCTTAAATATGAATGCTTCTTAACTTTCCTTTCTCCCATAACCGTAAATGCAAGTGGTAACTTGATTTGTTGGGCAGCTAACAAGTTTCACTTTCTCACTAATGACATGTGGAGAACGTTCGTAGTGAGAAAGCACAGGAATAATTTTTTCTTCTTGGAAAGCTATTTATGGCTTAAAAGCATGAAGACTACAGTGGGGTTGCTTGCAGCTTGTGAGCAGATGAACTTGTAATGTTGCAGTGGCTTTTATAAGGTCTGCTGCCTTGTCGTTTTGTGTGTAACTAAACTCGTGTTGTTAGAGCTTTGGTTCTAACACTTTACTGCTCAGTTCTGTTCTGCCTTTGACTTCAGATTTATTTTAATGCTTTTGTAGGCTTAGAACGGGTTTGGGAAATCTTTTGTCTTGCTCCAAATGTTCATGTTGAGTAATTTCAGAAGGATTGCTTGCAGACGTACTGAGCATTCATGTCTTCCATTGAATTCAGTTGACAGGAGAGTACTCAGCAGCCAGAGGAACAAAGCCAGGAGTTTCCAAGTGTATTGCCCGGTCTGCTAATCTTGTGACTAAGTTGCTTGTCTTTAAAGTTGAGTTTGTACAAATAGGGGAAGGGTTGTTTTTACTGGCAGTGGTATGGTAAATATGAATGCAAGATACTTGAGTAGCTTGTGGCAGCTTAAGTTCCCTGATGTTTTGCTCCAGCGTTGTGTTCTGGTTTTAAATTACTGCAGAGCTGAGCAACTCATTGTAATGGTGAATTTTGAAGAAATGTTTCAAATTCACTTTTCTTGCTGGTACAGAATGATGTGTGATGTGAAGGGTACCACAGGGGGGAAAAAAAACTATTGTGTCTTTAAGGAAGTTCTTGTTTATGTCTCTTTTGTCAGTGGAAGATGCCAGAGCAAGTATGAATAGACTTGCTTTGACTTCGCCTTGCCACAAAATTGATGTGTAAAACACCTTCTAAATGGACACACAAGGTCTTTATAGTGTAATATTATTTTTAGAATCCAAGGTGCTTGTTGAGAACCCAAGCAAAGGGTTGGAAATCATGACTGAGGCAACAGTGAGTATTTTTAAGGCACGGTGTCTTGGATCTCTTCTGTTATTTTCATCTGTCTGAACTTTGCTTAAAAAAAGCAGATGGATGGTATGCAGAACCTGGGAGTG